TAATAATAATAATAATAATAATAATAATAATAATAATAATAATAATAATCCTTTCTTTATAACAAAGCAAGTGGCACGCTCGTATCCAAATTTGCCTTATGCAAAGCTACTTAAGTATTTTAGAGGAAATAATAGCATAAAAGTATAATATGAAATATGTGCTTTAATTATGGATTTTAAAGTGCTGAAGCATGTAAATTACTAATAAGTAAATATATTTCTAGAAATAAGAAGGAATGTATAAGTAAATACTTTTGAGAAAATTAAAGAAAATAAAATTAAAAAAAAAAACTAGAAAAGAGAGTCAAATTAAAATGCCATCTAAAAATATTATAGTTTTAAATTGATAAAAAAATATTAAATATTAAATCCCAGTCCAAATTTAAATCATAAAACTCTAAATCATAAATTTTAAAACCTTTAGCCTTTAAATCCTTATTATTAAATTCTAAAATTTTAAAATCCAAAACTCTAAAATTATAAAACTAAATGTTAAATTCTAAAACTCTAAAGTTTAAATTTCTATTTGTATATGTTAAATTTTAAATATTGAAACGTAAAATTATTCTTCCTAAATTCTAAAAGAATAGGCTTAAAAATAATAAATGCTTAATTTGAAAAGTAGTATAATAAAAAATCCAATAGTTTTTTCTGTTATTGTGAATTAAATATTTTAGTGTACACTTTCCTCTTATGATTCTTCCCAAATAATCTATCTCTTTTATCAATTTTTGATTTAAAAAGATATTTAATTTAATAAAAATAATAGCTAATATGTACTAAGAATATTGTAGCTAAATGGCATTAATTTTCTTTTGGATTTGATTTTTTTTTTTTGCTGTAATTTTGGACTTTAACAATAAGTTATCTCATTAAACAATAACATAAGAAATACTCCATTGTAAAAAGGTTTGAAGAAGAAAAGTATTGCCATATATCTCAAAAGAACTATAAATTAAGAATTGTATAAAAATTTAACATATGACATGATTTTTCTTCATAAGTTTCTCCCTTAATATGTAGATAAAGATAGAATATATTTCTAATGCAACATGACCAAATAGTTGAGCAAAAAAAAAAAAGATGAAGAGGATCAAATCTAATACAATTAATTGGATAGAACTTAGAATTAAAAAGGAAATTAGTACAATTTTATGAAATGATATTCATAAAACTTAAATGATATAACATAAAAGGGGTGGGGTTATTATTACATCATAAATAATTAATATCACATCATTTTAATATAATTATTTATTATACCATTACATTGCATTTTTTCTCAAAATGTTATATTTTTTAATAAATTAAAAGGTGTAATAGTCAATTAAAATTAAAATGTGTGTCATTAATAATTGAGGGCGTGGTAATAACATCATCCCATAAAAGAGAAAAAAGAGGACTTTTCTATACTTAGCTTTGTATGCATCTGAGTTCAGTATATATATATATATATTTTGTTTTTGCTGATATTGTTGTTCTTTCATTCCTAACTCTTTCCACATAAGTAGCTCTAATATTGTTAAAAAAGAAAAAACCTTCACACTTTCTTTAATTTTACAAATCTCATATAATCACTATTCAAATTTTATAAAATAGTATTAATTAATAAAACTTGAAAGATATAAAAGGGGTGAGATTATTGTCACATCCTAAATAGTTAATATCACATTATTTTAATATAATTGTTTATTTTACCTTTATGTTACTTTTTTTTTCAAAATTTTAAATTTTTTTGTTTTTTAATAAATTAAAAAGCATAACAATCAATTAAAATAAAAAAATGTGATATTAGTAATTGAGGGCATGATAATAATATTGTAATACCCCAAAATTTTGTGCTATTTTAGCATTTAAGTAAGGGTTTTTGTGTGAGAAAAATATTGTTTTGGGCTTAAGAGCCGAAATGTCCAAACTTGAGGGACTTAAAAG